TTCACCGATCAGGATTTCTTTCTTTTGAATAATAAAACATACACGTGGGAGTATCTCCAGGAAACACATTTTATTGTAAGAACACGAGGACCTTACAAAATCCAAGACCAAATCAGCAAACACATTTCTTAGGGAAAGAAACAAGAATTAGTCAGCATAATTTAACAGGTGTTCTGTAAAATACATTCTCTGCCAAGAAAAATGGCATTAAGGAGACATAGCAGACAATAAGTCATGGTGCCTGACCCAGTGACAAAGTAAAAAGGGAAATGAAAGTTTACACCTCCCTGTTGAGAAAAGAAAACTAAACTTTCCCTTTTCTTAGAGTATTTCCCTTAGAAAACTGACAACTGTGAAGTTCTCTGTGTACCTCTCTAAAATGTCATAAACATTTTGAAAAATCAAATATGCCTCTGCCAATTTTACAATCAGGAATGGTCAAGGACCTGAGAGTAACATATTTGGACTGCGTGAGAGCTCGGTACACAGAGGACACCTTAAGCAGCTGAACCCAGAAACTCATCAGGGTGGGACTGCAAAACAGGCAAATGCACAGCACAGGCAGCACCTAAGGCTCCCTATAGTTACAGGAGAAAACCCTGGAACACAAAGGACATGAGAGAATATAGTGCGCCAGGAAGGATACAGAAGTACCAACAAAAGCAACATCACATCCTGCCCAGTACTCCCTCTCCCTGTTGCACTATGCAACAATATAAGACAGTGAAGCCCCACCTACACCTGTGGCCATTTTTCACAGGTCTAGGGCAGTGCACAGAGGAGTGGACACAGCCAAAATGTCAACAACACATAAACCCCCAATGACCAGGAAAGGGAAAATAAGGACCTGCCCCCATCATAAATGTATCAACATCCCTAGGCACATATTTTCCTGTATCACCTCCATGAAGGTACATTGTTGTCTTTGGTTCCCCAGCTATGCCGACCCACATGTGCTGCAAGGGAGGGGAAAGGGCACACGAGGCAGGTGCCTCCTTGAACGCTATTGCCCATCACGATATTCACCACCAACTCCCATGTCCTCCAAACTCTCTATATTGTCCTCAGGCCCAGGAGACTCCTGACATTCCTTCTAGGACCCTGGAATGCCCTGAAATAGGGACACCACCGAGCTCTCCCCTCCTCACATTGCAACTCCCTCCTGTCCTTTAACAGCATCAGTGGCTGTAGTACTACACAAGATGCATGAATCCCTTACTGAGCTGTCTAGGACAGTCTTGAGGGTTCAGGCAACTTCTCCTGCCTATGTAAACACCCCTCTGAGAAGAGCAAAGTGACTGATGGGCTAGACCACAAAGTGGTGACAGTTTACATCAGTAGACGGGAAACGTGACAGCTTCAGCTGACAGGGATGTGCCCCTTTCAGCATGACCAATAAGAAAGGTTAAGCTGCCATTCTGGACACCTAACATAAATCGGAAGGTTCATGGACACCAGGCTCAAGAGGAGACATGCAAAAGGATCCTAACATCACCAGCTTCATATTCTAGTTAGTGGCGGAACCCATGTGAATTTTCCTTCCCACCAAAGTGCAGAGTATGATCAACGGAAGAGTGTAGGAAGCTAATAGAGAAATGCTTGGTCAAGATGCCAATTTCATTCCCACTCTCTGAAACAGGAGTGCTCACGACCCTTGGGCCACCATTGCTGTTCATAGTGCAACCCCTTCTGTTCAGCACATTAGCGTAGAAGGACACAGCCTGACTACTGGCTATCACTTGTGTTTCCACTGGATTCAAAATTCTACTTGCTACAGATACTGCTGGTGAAGCTGTCTCGTTCCTGTAGGAATTTACACAAGGCTTTGGAGCCACCCAAGACAGAAGGAGGAAGGAGAGGTCAAGTAAATTCTGAAGAACTACCAGCAACAGCAGTTCACTTTCTTAAGTGTCTGCTAGTGAACACAGCCCAGTATTAGCAAGAAAGACTCAGTGCCGAGGTCCAATTTCATCGGTCACCACTTGTGAACACAGCTCAGGATCTGAATGAAAGATTCAGTGGTGAGACCATCCAAGGGAGAAACGTCCCCCAGAAACAACCACAGGTGCCTCTCAGAAGACTCCCACAGATTAATCTATGATGATACCATATAATAACACGTTCCTCCAAGCCATTTGCCATAGGCTAAGGCAGTGCACCTTGAGCCAGAAATTGTTAAGCCCTCACTAACAGGGAAGTTCAGAATTCTCATTGATAATGGACAGCCAAATTCCGCCCCCTTAATAAAGTCTCATATTTGCGCAAGAGCCAGAATTTCCCAAGTCACACTCAACAATACCCTCTGGTGCAGTGCCAGGCATGGGGAATGGGCCAGAGACACTCCCTTGAACACACAAAGCCTCTGAGAACGTCCCCACCAGAGTCCCTGAGCCTCCACCTTTCCCAGCAGCTCTGCCCAGTGCCACTGTTCCCAGCCCTTTCCCACCTAGAGTCAATAGGCCCCCGATGGAGCAACCATATGCAAAGTGTCATTCCATCTTTCCTGATCACAGAAGTCTCTACCCCTGTCTCACCCTCGAACCCCTAGAATTCTTCCCATCAAAGAACAGATCATCAAAGTGGCTGGGGATCCCGCCATGAAATCTATTAGTTGAAGGTGTATTGCCCTGGCTTTTGAGGAGCCTTGTATTCAGCACGTATTTCTTCTGCTACAAAAACACCCAGTGTGACCTCTGGATATCCACATGGACCAGAATGGACAGGAGACAGACACGGGGTAATTATTATTTTTCAAGCAACAAAACATTTTTAAAAGGTCTCACAGCCTGTGATTAATACCATGGGATTCAGAACCATCTGAAGCTGGATCTTATTCCCCCTCCTAAAGGATCCTGCCTTTGTTACCATGTCAAGATTCTGTAATCATTAATGTACTCTGTAAAATGGGAATAACAATACATTTAACTCATGGTTTTTAGAGGATGAGGAGAGAACCCTATGAACTGAGCACAGTGGTTGTTTCCCGTGACCTTTTCATCAGTGATAGCCCTCCTTATTTCTTTTGGATTCATGACCACTACCATCAACATCATTGTCACAACTATCACCATCATTTCCAGTAGCCCAAGGTGCTTCTCAAAACGACTACTGCTTTCCCAGTTACATGTCTAGACATGCCAAACAGGGAACCAGTCCTACAAGAAATACAATCAGTTGCATTGTTCTCCATGCCTAATGCCTACACCTGTGCCTGTGCCTTATGTTCAAGCATAGACACTTAGTCACCAGGAAGACAATAGTTGGTATTTAAGATGGGAGATCAAGGCCTTCAATTCTCAGGGCTAACATTGTACCTCTAAAGTAATAAGCAGTATGAAAGGCTTTTCTCAAATTTCTCAATGGGAAACCAGAAATTTACTTCATAAACAGCCATGACAAGGATCAGAACCTATAAAATGGGTACTGCCAGGGAAAAGCCTCACTGATAATTATACAAAATGGTCCCAATATGAGTGTAAGTCTACAAATAGGGATTTCAGTGCATTAAATTTCATTATATTCTCATGAAATCGCTCAGCTTTGTACATGACTACATAGCAACTGTATAAACTGAAAAGTCATTTCAAAACCAGGTGAAAAGTGTGCATATCAGCCCTTATGTATGTTGTACCATTTCATCAAATAGTAGCAAAATCAATTGTCTCACTCTACTTAAATAATCCAAAGAGTTTCAGTCCTAGGCCTTGCCTTGTAGTGGCCAATATAATCCACTCTCTTCCTAGCAATCATATAAGAAACAGGCATGAGAAAGCACTTTAAGGCAAATTGGAGTGTGATGTGAAAGACTGCACACCAAGAATTTACAGCACATTACCATTATGACTAGTGAGTAGACATTCAATGACTACACACCAGAAAAAACTAAGTGACAAGGCTGGCCTAGGAATGAACTCCTGGGAAAAGTCCAAGGAACCAAGTCTCAGTTTAAATTCTACACAGTTCCACCTTCTCTTTCATCGAAGGCTTGAATTAGTGGGACTGCCACCAATTAGGGAAACACCCTTTTGGCATCCTCTACCTTGAGAATGCTGCTTCCATGCTATTACTTAGTGTAAGCATCCACCAAGGCACGCATTTCGGTCTTCCCCCAAGGCTTCCCCACTCACAAAAGACAAGAAGACCAAAGATGGCGGTGACATTGCAGAGGCAGAGGGCACAACATGTGCATGTGTAACAGGGAGGAAGCATCATAGTTACCTCAAGTTTCACAAGGGCTTTTGACTAAGAAATAAGCCATCCTTGGTCATCATCCCACAATATTTGGTTAATAAGCATGGGTTGGGGTAACGTTTTTCCATGGATCTCAGCCCTCAATTTTACATTGGGTGGAAAATAAAAATGACTCTCATCTTCCAAGGATTAAAAGTAAGTTAACCAATGACAGGGACAAATCAAAAGAATATGAATGACAAGTAGTCAGTAAAAGGTAGACACTTTTCCTCTGCCACTTTTACAATCAGGAATGGACAAGGACCTGAGGGTAACATACTTGGACTGCATGAGAGCTAGGTACACAGGGGAACCTTAAGTAGCTGAACCCAGAATGTTTATGACATTTTAGAGAGGAACATGGAGAACTTGACAGTTGCCAGTTTTCTAAGGGAAAGGCTCTATGAAAAGGGAAACGTTAGGTTTCTTTTCACAAAATGGAAAATAGCCCTACATCTACACGCCATCAAATTGGTACTGACTGATTAAAACTATGGTTTTCAAATGGTGGCAATGCTCACCAGGGATTTGGGGGGAGGGACCAAATCTTAGGGCTGTGGGGAGTATTTTGGTAGGGAAGGGCATAACTCTAACCCTTCTTAGGGAGAGGCCTTAAAGATATGTAACCAATATGTGAAAAAAAATCAAAACAAAACTTTTTATCGGGTAGTGGGAAGGCAGTAGGGGGGAGGAGGAAAGGGGTGTATGCTTCCATAACGTGCGGGGGATTGGACACATTGGGGGAGGGATGGGGGAGAGGGGCAATATATGTAACCCTAACAATATTTGTACCTCCATAATATGATGAAGTAAATAAAAATAAATTTAAATAAAACTACGTATGCCTCTGCCATTTTTACAATCAGGAATGGACAAGGACCTGACAGTAACACATTTGGACTGCATTAGTGCTAGGTACACGGGAGACACCTTAGTAGCTGAACCCAGAAACTCATCATGGCCACTTTGGAAAATAGGCAAATGCACAGCACAGGCAGCACAGAAGGCTCCCTATAGTTACAGGAGAAAACCCTGGAATACAAAGGCGATGAGAGAATACAGTGCGCCAGGAAAGATACAGAAGTACCAACAAAAGCAACAGCACATCCTGCCCATAATTCCCTCCCACTGTTGCACTATGCAACAATATAAGAGAGTGAAGCCCCTCCTACGTCTGTGGCCATTTTTCACGCATGTAGGGCAGTGCACAGAGGAGGTGACACAGCCAAGATGTCAACAACACCCAAACACCCAATGACTGGGAAAGGGAAAATAAGGACCTGCCCCCATCATAAAACTATCAACTTCCCAAGGCAAATATTTTCCCCTATCACCTCCATGAAGGTACATTGTTGTGTTTGGTTCCCCAGCTATGCCGAACCACACGAACCGCAAGGTAGGGGAAGGGGCACAGGAGGTAGGTGCCTCCTTGATCGCTATGGCCCATCACGATATTCTCCCCCAACTCCCATGTCCTCCAATCTCTCTATATTCTCCTCATGCCAAGGAGACTCCTGACATTCCTTCTAGGACCCTGGAATATCCTGAAATAGGGAGACCACGGAGCATATCCCTCCCTCCTGTCCTGTAATAGTTTCAGTGGCTGCAGCACTACACAAGATGCATTTATCCCTCACTGAGCTGTCTAGGACAGTCTTGAGGGTTCAGGCAACCTCTCGTGCCTATGTAAACACCCCTCTGAGAAGAGCAAAGTGACTGATGGGTTAGACCACAAAGTGGTGACAGTTTACAGCAGAAGACTTGGAAACATTGCAACTTTAGCTGAGAGGGATGTGCCCTTTCAGCATGACCAATAAGACAGGTTAAGCTGCCATTCTGAACACCTAACATAAATCGGAAGGTTCCTGGACACCAGGCTCAAGGGGAGAAATGCAAGAGGATCCCAACATCACCATCTTCATATACTGTTCAGTGGCGGAACCCATGTGAATTTTCTTTCCCACCAACGTGCAGAGTATGATCAACGGAAAAGTGTAGGAAGCTAATAGAGAAATGCTTGGCCAAGATGCCAATCATTCCCCCTCTCTGAAACAGGAGTGCTCACGACCCTTGGGCCACTCTTGCTATCCATAGTGCAACCCCCTGTGCTCAGCACATTAGTGTAGGAGGACACAGCCTGACCACTGGCAATCACCTGTGTCTCTACTGGATTCAAAATTCTACTTGCTACAGATACTGCTGGTGAAGCTGTCTCGTTCCTGTAAAAATTTATACAAGGCTTTGGAGCCACTCAAGACGGAAGGAGGAAGGAGAGGTCAAGTAAATTCTGAGGAACTACCAGGAACAGCAGTTCACTTTCATAAGTGTCTGCTAGTGAACACAGCCCAGTATTAGAAAGAAAGACTCAGTGGCAAGGTCGACTTTCATCGGTCTCTAATGGTGAACACAGCTCACTATCAGCATGAAAGACTCAGTGGTTAGGCCATCCAAGGGAGAAATGTCCCCCAGAAACAACCACAAGTGCCTCTCAGAAGACTCCCACAGATTAATCTATGATGATACCATATAATAACACGTTCCTCCAAGCCATTTGCCATAGGCTAAGGAAGTGCACCTATTCAGCCAGAATTGCTAAGCACTCACTAAGAGGGAAGTTCACAATTCTCATTAATAATGGACAGCCATGTTCTGCCCCCTTACTAAAGTCTCATCTTTGCCTAAGAGCCATACTTTCCCAAGTGACTCTCAACAATACCCTCTGGTGCAGTGCCAGGCTTGGGGAAGGGGCTGGAGACACTCCCTTGAACAGACAAAGCCTCTAAGAACGTCCCCGCCAGAGTCCCTGAGCCTCCACCTCTCCCAGCAGCTCTACCCAGTGACACTGTTCCCAGCCCTTTCCCACCTAGAGTCAATAGGCCCCCGATGGAGCAACCATATGCAATGTGTCGTTCCATCTTTCCTGATCACAGAAGTCTCTACCCTTGTCTCACCCTCGAACCCCTGTAATTCTTCCCATCAAAGAACAGATCATCAAAGTGGCTGGGGATCCCGCCATGAAATCTATTAGTTCAAGGTTTATTAGCCTGGCTTTTGAGGACCATTCTCATCAGCACATATTTCTACTGCTACAAAAAAACCCAGTGTGACCTCTGGATATCCACAAGGACCAGAATGGACAGGAGACATAGATTGGGGTAATTTTTACTTTTTTAAGCACCAAAAACATTCTTAAACTTTCTCAGAGCTTGTGATTAACACCATGGGATTCAAAACCATCTGAAGCTGGATCTTATTCCCCCTCCTAAAGGATCCTGCCTTTGTTACCATGTCAAGATTCTGTAATCATTAATGTACTCTGTAAAATGGGAATAAAAGTACATTTAACTCATGGTTTTTAGAGGATGAGGAGAGAACCCTATGAACTGAGCACAGTGCTTGGTTCCAGTGACCTTTCCATCAGTGATAGCCCTCCTTATTTCTTTTGGATTCATAACCACTACCATCAACATCATTGTCACAACCATCACCATCATTTCCAGTAGCCCACGGTGCTTGTCAAAACGACCAGTGCTGTCCCAGTTACATGACTGGACATGCCAAACAGGGAACCAGTCCTACAGGAAATACAATCAGTTGCATTGTTCTAGATGCCTAATGTCTATACCTGTGTCTCTGCCTTATGTTCAAGCATAGTCCCTTAGGCACCAGGAAAACAAGAGTTGGTATTTACGGTGGGAGATCCAGGCCTTCAATTCTCAGGGCTAACATTGTACCTGTAAGGTAACAAACAGTATCAAAGGCTTTTTCAAATTTCTCGGTGCGAAACCAGTCAACAAATAGGGATTTCAGTGGATTCAATTTCACTATATTCTCCCGAAATCTCTGATCTATGTACATGACCACATAGCAACTGTATAATCTCAAAAGTGATTTCACAACCAGATGAAAAGTGAGCACATCAGCCCTTATGTATGTTGTACCATTTCATCAAATAGTAGCAAAATCAACTATCTCCCTCTACTTAAATAATCTACAGAGTTTTAGTCAAAGGCCTTGCCTTGTAGTGGCCAATATAATCCACTCTCTTCCTAGCACTCATATAAGAAACAGGCATGAGAAAGCACTTTAAGGCAAATTGAAGTGTGATGTGAAAGACTGCACACCAAGAATTTACAGCACATTACCATTATGACTAGTGAGTAGAAACTCAATGACTACATACCAGAAAAGCCTAAGTGACAAGGCTGGCCTAGCAATGAACTCCTGGGAAAGGTCCAAGGAACCAAGTCTCAACTTAAATTCTATGGAGGTCCACCTTATCTTTCATCGAAGGCTTGGAACAGTGGGACTGCCAGTAATTAGGGAGACGCCCTTTTGGCATCCTCTACCTTGAGTATGCTCCTTCCATGCTATTACTTCGTGTACCTATGCACCAAGGCATGCATTTCAGTCTTCCCCGAAGTCTTCTCCACTCACAGAAAACAAGAAGACCAAAGATGGCGGTGACATTGCAGAGGCAGAGGGCACAACATGTTCAAGTGTAACAGGGAGGAAGCATCACAGTTACCTCAAGTTTCACACGGGCTTTTAACTAAGAAATAAGCCATCCTTACATGGGTTGGGGTAAATTTTTTCCATGGATCTCAGGCCTCAATTTTGCATTGGGTGGAAAAGAAAAATGACTCTCATTTTCCAAGGATTAAAAGTAAGTCAACCAATGACAGTGACATGTCAAAAGTTTATGAATGACAACATATTGAGTAAAAGATAGAAACTTTAGGGTCTCTTCCCAAACAAATGTGGAATTTGACCTAAGGTGAGCGAACTTCAGGTTGTGTGATGCCACCTTCTCCACAAAACGTGTGCCAATAGAAAACTACGGGACCCACAAGGAACCCTTGAGACTAAAGGTTCAAGGTCCCCATAGGAACATCTTAGGATAGTGCATACTTCCAATTAGCACGTTAATTCCCTCTGTCACATTGTCAAATGTCTTCACCCACATTGCAATGAATAAATCACCACACACAAAAGAAATGACTTTACATAGGCCAAGAAAGAGAGAGACCTTGCTGGCACTGCCAGTTAGCAGGCCCCCTCCAGCCTCTACCGTTGACAAATGGTAAACAGTCCTGATGAGTAGTGAGGCCTGAGCCCTGGCAGCGTCCATGCGCAGTGTCTGAGTTGGCCAGAACATAAGTTGCTCAGGAGAAGGAAAAGCCTGAGGTCCTGGGTTGCCTCTTGCTTCACAGCATGGTTGATGTGGTCGGGTTTCCAGAGAGATTCCGCCCCTGAGGAAGCTTGCTGGCCCTGGGAAAGAACACAAACATTTAAATGATATTGTAGCAAACTCTAAAGAGCTTGTACAGGGGCAGGGGAGCAGTGGTAGGGAGGGGGTTAAACCGAGCACCCTGATGTTCTTCTCCAAAATGTGGAGTCAGGAAATGGGATACTAGTTCCTTGGGCACCTCTTTTGGACTCAGGTACTGAAGACTGTGAATGAGACATGATGTGTGCTCCCAGTAATGTCTGCAAAGCAAAGAAATGGCCAGGAAGCAAGAAAGGGTGAAGATTTGAAGGTGCACTGACTTATGCATTACTTTGATTGTTACCTTCTGTCTCCAAGTCTCCTCCCAAATAAAAGCCCTCCCATCCATGGTGGAGGCAGACGGACAGACTACCATTCTCCAACAGCCCCTTGGCCCACAGGTCCCAAGCCTCCCCTTTTGCATAGGTAAAGATTGCTTTCTATTACCTTCAGATCCATTTTAGAACCAGAAATTAAAAGGCATCTGAGCAGCCTCCCACATTCCCTCCATTCCTGGTGTTGACTTTTGACCATCCGCTCGAGTTCATCCTGCTATTGCCTGTTAGTGCAAAAGATTCCAAATAGGATCAAAACATCAAGACTTTGAAGATAAAATGCCAAGTTCTGTTATGGTTTTGGAAACCATAACATTCAAATAAATTCAAGCTTGCTATAATGGGACACTGACAGTGAGCAGAGGAAACCACTAATGCCTGGAAGGCCGGGCGCGGTGGCTCACGCCTGTAATCCTAGTACGCTGGGAGGCCGAGGCGGGCGGATCGCTCAAGGTCAGGAGTTCGAAACTAGCCTGAGCGAGACCCCGTCTCTACCAAAAATAGAAATAAATTAATACCAACTAAAAAATTATATATATACAAAAAAAGATGTCAATATCTAGGAGGTCTCAATCATGAATTAATAAGCAGCACCATGGACAGACCTTACACAGATGGCAGTTCCTTGCCTGGAGACCAGACATTGGCTTCAACACCTTCCTAAATGATGGTACAGGTGAGACCAGATGGGTGATGCCCTCTACCCAACACCTGTCACCTCACACGAGAGACGGTTGTTCTTACCTGGCTGGATGCTCTGGAGAGTTAGTTCCAGTTCCACACTAGTCATGGTACAGGCTCCCATGCTGACAGTCCCAGACTTCCACCACAGGTCCTGAAAGGAGAATTGTAAGATTGTACAGATCTGCAAGACTAGCATCACTGGGGACACACACATGGCAACTCATAATGTAGCTAGGGGGCTGGAGTGGGTATCCTATTACCCTTATGAACAAGAGCTGCTGAATATACCTAGTGGGGACTGAGTACACAATTATTCAGCCCAAGCCAGGTAGGCCAAATTCATGAAAGGCAATGTAACACAGAGATTGCAGCAACAGTGCCACAACACCAGGTAATAGTGCCTTTCAGAGGCTCCACTGCTCCCTTCAAAGGGAACCACAGGTCATGGGGTAATCAGTCAATAGCAGTAGCCCATTCCACCCAATTCTTGTCCTCCCCAGGCTAGGCCTTGACCACTCATTTCTCTTTACCTTGTGGGCATATAAAAAATACATGAATCATTTTTTTCTATGAAAAAACACCTGTAAACGATACCAACGCTACATTTAAAGAAAAACGGTATATTAAATACACCATTGTGCTTCAGAAGCAAAACTGTCAACGTGACCTGCAATTGGCATTTAATCCCAGATTACTGAAAGCACTCAATCTGTGACTTTCTTCATTCATAAATGGGAAATTCCTCATTATGTTTAAAGGAAACTTATGCAAAAGCCTCAGGACAGAATTGGATTAAATAACATGATATTGAGTAGGCAATTCATGTGGGAAATGCAATTCCCAACAATGTGTAAAGGTGACAGGCAACCAGTACTTCCGGGCATTCACTGCCGTAAAACAAGTGGCAGCTTAGTCCATATGTACGGTTTGATCTAGAAAATGCCACAAAGCTTGCTTCATTTGGGTACATTGATGAAATAAGATAACACAAGGACTAAAACTTCAACCAATCCAGTGATATTAAAACAATTTGATGGTGAAATCAAGTCAAACTTCAGGTAGCCGGCAACGTGAGGCCGGAACTGTCGTATAGCAAGATGCACAAAACCAATGAAAACATTATTTTTCTTATTTGTGCATTTAAAAGAACGAAAATGTGTTTCCCCATGCTTCGGATGAGGGTCAGGACCGCAGTTAATTTAATACAATGCTAAAAAACACATTTATGCAAAGTAAAACCCATCCTATAAAATAGCCGCGAACGATGGTTAAGGGCATTCACTGTCATAAAATATCAACCACGCGGCCCATTGATGACGTTCTGCATTTACCCATCCACCCTGGCCCACAATATTTTCTTTAAAGTACTTTTATGGATCCGCTGAGAGAGGGTACAAGAACAGAAACATAAAGTACATTTGTAGAGAGATAACAACACTACAATATTTTTAATTATATCACAGAAGATATTACCATAGAAAACAAAAGGCAATCAATCATTGAGACATTAATTTACTCTCTATCAACACAAAACCTTTTGAAGTCCTTTATGAAGAGCCCTGGGATCAAAAGTCAATTGAATGAGACAAGAGGAGGAACAGGTAAAATTAAATGCAAAACCAGGTCCAATTTATCTGAAAAAAAGTGGCAGATTGGCAGCCATATCACGTGATTTAATACGTCACCTGCTAAGCCAGATGAATCACTTCACAATATACACACTGAAAATACCCTCATTTGAAAAATATTTATGAAACAAAGCCAAAAGAAATTTAACCATATTTAAATGATTACAATGTCATGAAAAACGCAAGTCAGTTACCATAAACTAAAACAATAAATAGGATGCCTGGGGGCTTCATTTCCTTTAGGGACTTAAAGGTATAAGCTCCTGCCAACCCGAGTGCTCTTTTCCATATCCTTAAAGTGTCAAACCGCCAAGCATTTTAAGGGGTGCTTTTGGCTGAATACAGTGATATTAAATACACAAGTGCATTATACAAAAGTGCAAAACAGAGTTCAAGGACCACGGCCCGGCAATTCCCTGGGGTTAGTGAACAAGCTGGAAGTCCATTGTCCCATTTCACGTAGAAATATTCAAAACGCTTTTTTTTTTCTCCTGTGAACACAACATATGAAGGAGACGAATTCTGAACTTGAACCATAACAGACTACATTAAACATATAATCATGTTAAATGAGAGACTAAACTGGCCACAAAGACAGCTAACTGGGATCGGCTATCATAACCCCACCTCAAGAGGTAACTTCCCCCCTTGTCACCTCTAAAGGAACAGAAATATGAAAACCGAATGGCGAAAGGTGGCAAAATAAAAACATTAAAGAAATAAGTGGTGATAATATCTACCCAACGACAGTAAAACATAAAGGCAAACTCAGGTGCCCGGCGACCAGTGGCCACCGTTCGGGGTTGGACCGACAGCGGCTCATTGATCACATCAGCGTTTCCTCATTTTTAACTTGAAAACACCACAAAACCTTAGGATCAAGAGGGAGGAGGGGTACCCATGACCAACATTTAAACAAACAAAATGACCGGAAAGACTCATCCCGTTGTTCCATCAAGCACAACACTGGGCCGGACGTGACTAGGGAGCTTCCCTGTCAACAATCCATTGGCCCATCGCACACATCCCTTACAGATGTCACAACACATCATAAACCCGATTCGATCAGGATCACCACAAAACTCCGTAATTAAGAATTAAAACCAAATAAACTTACATTTTCTGATCCCGGAAGGCGGGTGCCGCCATATTCCCACATATCCTCGGGAAACTGTCCACGGAAGCCCCACAGGACAATCCAGACTTTAAGGGTATCTACCTGGTCACGTGGTACGGATGCCTGGACACCCAGTCTAAGGCCCCGCCTACAGACAACTTCATTGGAGGGTCTGAAGTGATTGACAAGGCACCCAATATTGAGCTCTAGATGTACAAGGTAAAACTCAACTAATACCTAAAGGCCCAGCTAAATAACACAGGCCTTTCTGATACTGTAGCTTATATAACTGTGCTCATCTCTCCATATCCAGTTCTCTTACCCAGGCCTCTATACATACCATATCCCCTGTTTCCTGGCATTTCTGATTCTGGAAATCGGCTCACCCAATTTGTCTAGGCCAACCTCAATTGCCCTCTCCTCCAGGAAGCCTTCCATGCTTTTACTCCTTCCCCTTCCAGGTAGAAGGGAGTTGTTCTTTGCTTTTAAGTGGTCATATGGAGAGATATAGAGGGTGGGAGGAAGAAGAATTATATGGTCCTTGGGATCTGAAAGCAGTGGGCTGAGCAAGATGTCAGGGACCCAAGGTTTGGTTTTGCGATTTTATCAATGCAGTTGAGGTTTCCATAATTGTGCTATGGCCAGGGGAAGCCATCCACAGGTAAATCATAGCAGCCTCCTAGGATTAATCACAACACTGAACGCAAACATCTCCCCTGGATTTCATGCCTTTCCCTGTCTTTTTCTATCTCAATATTTTGTCCCACCCTTCCAGCTTCAGGCATCAGCTGTCTCTCCTCTGATGACATGAGTGACTTCATGTTTCCATACACAGACACTAGAAGACTGATTTCTTCTTTTGTAGGATGAATGATAAAGCGGTTTCAGATCTCATTTGCCAAGGTCACTGGCTTCATGAGTACTGGATGTAGGACTGGACCCTCCTCCTTTTCAAGAGGCCATCTGCTGAGCTGCTCTCAATATGCGAGTCAGTATAAACAGAAAAGTCCAACTCTCACCAAGGGTTGCCTACATTTCAATGTTGAATTCATCTGTGCCCAAGGTGGAATGTGAAACACAGAGTTACTTGGCCATGTTAGTGGACTTCGGGTGGCTTGGGCAGCACCACCCATCTGCAGAAAAGATTATTTTGAGTGGGAAAGGTGAAGCTGCACGGCGTGCCTATGCAATGTTTCATGATGTTGCCCTACCCAGCCTGGACTCTAACAAGGAACACTAGCTGGGAAAGATGGACTCACTGTCCTCCAAGTACACGTCTGAAAAAACAGAAGAATCAGATTGGTTAAAATCACTTCCCAACTATGCTTTAGGAAAGTGAGACAATACACACAGTTAGCTTGATTGTTGTGTATTGCCACGTACATGGTGGTAATGATTCAGCTGTCTGTTTCTGGTATCTTAGCTTCCTAAACCATTGTTTGGAAGTGACTAGAGGCTGGTGGAGTGGGAGGAATGAGGAGAGATGTTGCTCAAAGGCTAGAAAATTCCAGTGTGACAGAGAGAATTGGTTTTTGAGATCTTCCCCACAAAAAAGTAGTATGTGAAGTAAAGGATATTTATATTTATTTAATTTAATCATTCTACAACATGTAATACATCAAATCATCACATTTTTTCTGCATAAATATATACAAATATTATATCTGAATTTTTTTTGTAAAAAGTAGAGAACCATTTTCCCCTAGAGGTACCTTACCCTCTACAGTCTTGCAGCTCATTTAGAAGCTCAGAAAATGTTTATTAGTGAGCTTTTCCAGATATCAGGATGGGGGATAAGACTTTGGCAAAGATCCAGAGGGGAAGGGAGTGGTTCTACACTTTGTCCAGCAATCAGTGAAGGGATGAATCTGGGAACTTAAGCAGCATGGGATGTGAAGTGAAGGAAGAACCAGGCCATTGGTGTGAATCCCATGGCCACGAATTCCCACCTCATTGCTCACCTGTTGTTGAGGCTTTTCCCTCTGGCTGCACTCTGCAGCTGAATACATGGCTGGCCTCTCTTGATGCCAAGACACTGCCCAGGTCCTATTTCTCAGTGCACTTGTGTCTCCACAGTCTATGCTCACAGTCACTCTGCTCCCATCTATACTTCATCTCATGTCCATAGGCTGTCCTGAAAAAATTATCTATGACTTCTTATCCACCTTGCACCACAGAGAGTGGTTAAGTATATGGGTTCCACGTAGGCTGCTTGCATTCATGTCACAGCTCTTCTTCCTACTACTAGTGTATTTTTCAGGGTTGTTTTTCGTTTCTGTTTACTTGTCAGTAAAATGATGGTACAGTCTCTCAGTCTATTCACGGTGTTTTACAAAAATACCTTCCACTGGGTAATTCAGAAAAGACAGGAGTATATTGCTCACAGTTCTGGAGCCTG